TTCTCTTCAATTAATATGTTTTTTATATTTGCTTTAAATTCAACACGCGATATGTCCGAGTAGTTTAATTCCAACAAAATCAGAGACGGAATTCTTATCCATGAGTGGGTGATTTTGACCCTAAAGTGGTATTAATGCTTAGTGTTGTTTTGTTGATTAAAATAATTTATTTTAAACACATGGGTGATTTGTAAACATGCTTGATTATCCAAACACAATTGAATTTTGCACAGATAATATTTGAAGTCCCTGCGTCAACATGATACCAATACTCTCATTGATTAGTTTTATCATCCAAACACATATTTTCTAAATTGTAATTTTTATTGAATATTCTCCATCTAAGTGAGTTTGATTACAATCTTGGATGAGTTACAAATTATATCAAAATTCTCATTCACGGTGGGATGAACTCTAAAGATTAATTAGTTTGTTTTAATATTGTTTTTAAAATTTATCATTCATCACCATCTTTGCAAATCAAAAGATTTTTATTTTTGTTTATATCATATCACTCTTTAAATTTGTCTTTATTTCCCTGTGGAGATGACCTTGGTATTTTCGAGTTATTACACGATTAATTTTTCTATTCTTGGAAAGCATTTTCAGAATAACCACATTAGAGGACAAGCACACACACAAACATATTCAAACCAATTCGTGAGCTATGGAAAAATTTAGCCTCCATTTGCCACAACCCAAATTTCATCAATTGAATGTTAATTTATATTAAATTTATGAAATTAAATGTTAATTTTTTGTTAGCTGATTAAATTGAATGTGAAATTGAAAATATTTAATGTTAATTTGATGAAACTAGAAGTGAATTGTTGTTAATTTGGGGTCAATTTGGGAAAAGTTGAATTTTAATTGGATAAAAATGAATGTTAAATAGATGAAAATGTTGATTTGGTGAAATTAAATGTTAAATTCATGAAATTGAATGTTAATTTGGTATTAAATTGATGAAATTGAATATCAATTTGATAGAATTAAATGTTAATTTAGTACTAAATTGGTGAAATTAGTGTTAATTTGATGTCAAATTGATGAAACAAAATGTTTATTTGATAAATTAAGGATCAATTTTAATGTTAAATTGGTGAAATTGAATATTAATTTGGTGTTAAATTGATAAATCTATTTTGATTTGATCATTGAATGTTAACTTTATGAAATAGATGAGATCATATTGACGGTAAAATTTGTATTAATCTAATAAGATTAAAATTTAATTTTGTATTAATTTGATGGAAATTAGTGTCAAAATGATTAAATTGAATGCAAATTTGAGATTAAATGTCAAATTTGATAATATGAATGTGAAATTGGAATTGAACGTTACTTTGATAAAATTAAAGATCAATTTGATATTAATTACATGAAATTGAATTTGTAAATTCAAAAACTTAGGTCCCGTTTGGTAACATTTATGTTTTTCGTTTTTCATTTTTTGTTTTTATTTTGATTTTTAGAGTAAACAAGAAAAAAAAAATCGTTTGATAATTGATTTTATTTTTTATTTTTTCTGCTACCGTTTTGTAAACGGGGGGCGATTTTCAAAAACGAAAAAATAAAAAATGTTTAACGTGCATTTGTTATTACTGAGGTCAAGGAATCGAACTTTATCAATCCCAAAAAGACACATTTATTGGGCACCCATATAAATAGCAATACCCAAACCCTAACCCTTCAAACATGTCTTCATCGTGCTCTCTCTCTCTCTCTCTCTCTCACCTATCCTCTTCATCGCCAAGTGCCTTTCCTCTTCAATGAAGACATTGAATAGCAATATGAGAGAGGGACTGGAAGACATTGATTAGCAACGAAGACATCCTATCAAGGTAAACATGAGATCTGATCTAGAATATACTTATAGGTCTGATCAAATCAGGGTCTTGTTACTGAATTTTTTTTTTCGCTCTCTAGTTGCTAATATGCGCCTATCCTGATCTATTATTTTTTTTTCTCTATAGCTGCTATTTTTTTTTATAAAGCTTGAAATTTTTTTCATATTACCATTTATAAGTATTAGATCCCTCTTCCTCAATGGGGCAATTATAGATCTTTTTTAAACATGACCAAAGTGCTTGAGTCGATTCTCTTGTTTTATTCTCTATTGGTGCTACTTGTACTTTTTCACGGTTTATTGATCCCTAGCTATATCCAATTTGTTGTTACCACGATACCACCTACTGAAAGGAGGTTTTTCAAATTCAACCTATCATGGTGGTCACTAACCCACTAGCTCAATCACCAATTTTCTTTTACTCGCCCTCTATATTTGGGTCTAATGGACTTATAAAAACTTGCTTTCGTTTTGTTGTAGTTGCCATCTCTGAGATTGTTCTTGCTTTAGAGAAGGATTGCTTGAGCCTCTTGTTTTGATTTTCCAGCAAGTTCCTGAGGAGGTTGAAAGGGTTATGGTTGGAACAGAATCTTTTTTTTTTTGCTCTATAGTTGCTGATTGCTTTCTAGAAAGCTTGAATTTTTTTTTTCTTTTGTGATGTATTGCTGATTTTTTGATTAACTCTATTTGTGCTGTATTGTTGATTACTCTTAGCAAATCTTTTGTGATCTGCTAATATTGAGATTTAAAGACCCTAGAAAGCCTTAGAATCTCAAAATAGGAGACTCCCCAAAATAATCTCAAAACCAATAATAGTATCATGTAACTGAGACCCAGTAGAATACCCTCCAAAGTTGCTGATTTTTTTGCTCTCTGTAGTTGCTGTTTTTTTTTTTCTCTATATTCTTGCTGATTTTTTTTTGCTCTCTCTATATCTGCTGAGTTGTTGATTTTTTGTGTGTATGTTAAATCCATGATTTCTATCATTTGCATTGGAAAATTATTATGGTTGTCTGTGGATGTAGATGACCAACGTGAATGTCAATCAGAACCTGGATAATACTGATGTTATGGAAATTGAACCAACCAAAGTTGATCAACAGTGGTGTTATTAGTATTAATATAACTATGAAGTATGAGATACTTATGTGGAATATTTGAAAATCATGGGATATATTTTTAGTATGTTTAAAAACTATTAGATGATCAGTTATGGATTGTTGTTCTAACTTTTTAATAGCATGGAATTATATTAATGTATACAAACTAGTCCAAAAAAAAAAGTGTTACAATCCAACGAGTTTTGTGTTTTTGTTTTCAAATTTTTTTACAACTATAAAAGCAACCAAAACACGTTTTCTGTTTTCATTTTTGCCTACAAAAAATCTAAAACTGATTATGTTTTTTATTTTAAAAAAAAACCAAAATTGTAAACGTTTATTAATTAATTTCATAAAATTGAATGTTGATCAAATAAAATTGAATGACTAGTATGTCTGTGTGTTCATGTGTCTGTAAGAATGGGTATAAATACGTAAAAAAGGGTATCTTTAAAGGGCAAATTGGTAAAAGTGTTCTTTTTGTTGGGTCTATTTCTGACAATCTGACCAGAGTGACGATGATATTTTAAAAATTATAGGGGATTTTTTTTTTTTTTGGACAGGGGAGGGGGGCTTGGCGAGTCAGTGACACTCAAACCTTGAACCAGGAAGCAGGGTAAGAAAGGCATTAACCACTAGGCCGTTCCTCTTTGCTCGCAGGGGATATCTCTTGAATTAGACCGTTTTACAAAGGGCGTCATTAAAATTTTAACTAAATTTGTTCTTCCTCGCTTCAAGTCACCACCTCGACCTCCCGAACACCACCACCTCTGGTTACCAACACTGAAATCAAAATATAAGCACTCCAAAATCCTGATTATATGAACGAGTTATCTACCGAAAACAAACAGTAGCCCCACCGGGCCAGGGCGGGGCAATTGTTTCGCATGATCAATGGAAAACAGATTCCGCATGCCTTGGTTTTCTTACAAGCTCAAAGGCAGAACCTAAGTCTGATACTGGTTCTAAACAGCTTGATGTATGTATACGGAACTCCTATCGCTAGGGGATGAAGTCATTTTAGTCAATACCCTCGCCTCCAAGGGCCATCTTCTGAGTATGCTAAACTGGTTACCAAGGGCCACAATAACAAAGCAGAGAAACCTATAGCACAGTTATCTGCTAATAAACAGTGCAATACATCTTCCTAACAGGTATGTCGGGAGAAAAACTTAATTGGGCAACTACCAATTCAAGGTTCAAGCGGTGGAGTTCTGCTGGGAAACTTTCAGCAGATGAATGCCCTGCAAAGGAATATTCACGAGTGCAGGAAAATGGCGGAAAGCAAAAACGAAATTTCACCGCCCACCGAACTCCGTCTCGCCACATACCATGACCATCATCATTTTAAAAAAAAAATATTCCAAATCCCCAGAAATCGAGAACAAAATTGATTATGATTTGTCAAAGGCAGCAAATGGGGAAGTAAAAATCAAAATCAATTTCAATTCCAACTTCTGATTTCAAGTTCCATTCGATTTTGCACCACCGGACGATGATTCAGCAACAAATTCAATACAGATAAATTTTTGAACAAGGATGTATACCAAAACATAAGAGACCAAAGAATTTGTCGACCCAAAAGACGAATGCGACACCACCAACAGCCACCACCACAACAGCAGGACAGTTTGTATGAGATTCAATGAGCCCCTTCCTCAATGAGAATCAATATGAATCCCTTCACACTAGCTTACTTCTACCATCCGCAATCACACACTCCTCCAACATATGCTTCCTTACATCCACCCTTCAGAAAGACACATGCTCCAGCTTTTGATTATCATATAAAGATCCAACAGAAAGACTTTTCAAGTCACAAATGAGGAGTAAATCAAGGTACATATACTTATTGATATGCCTAAATCTAGTTTCAAACTTATAACAATTTCACATTCATTTCACAGACAAGGGCAGTTACCAATAATCTACATGCACAAGTCATAGAGATGTGGAGATAAATATAAATCAAAACAAGAGTAAAACGAATTAATATTCAACGATTAACACGGAACAAGAAAAAGGGGAAAAAGACTTATAGTTGGAAAAACCATCATCTGTTGCAGTCGGCCAACAAGCTTCCAAACCAGTGCCCATGCCATTTCAATCCTGGCCTCAAAGTAATATATCTGGCTCCGCTAAACTTCCAATAAAAATCACTTTACAACATTCCGGAAACTGCAATCCAGCCTCGTCACACTCTGCTTTGGTAACACGAGGACATGACCGCAAATCAAAATATTCCAAAGAGTAACATGAATCCAGTAGTTGGCCTATCCCTGCCACAGTGATTTGTGGACAGTTACTGACCTTCAAAATTTTCAATTTCAACTCGAATCCCATTCTGTCTAACCCCTCAAAAGCAGCATCTGTAACCTTTTCACAACACCCAATGTCCAGAAGCTCTAGATTACTGCACTGAGAGAGGATGCTGTTCAATGAAGAGTCAGAAACATTTAAACACCAATCCATCCGAAGCCTCTTAAGACTCTGATAACAAGCAGCAGCCAATGACTTTACGGAATCGTTAGATATCGCCTGGCAGCCACCAATGATGAGAGTCTCAATGTTTCTACAGTACTTGGCCAATGATAATATGGATTCATCTCCAACTTTGTAGCAATCCAACAACTTCAGCGTTATCAGAGACGATGAACAAGCTTTGGATACACTAGATATCCCTACATCTCCAACTTTGCTGCATTTATTGACGTCCAAATGCTTGATCCTTTGACAACCATCAACAAGAACAGTGAGACCAGCGTCGGTTATGTTGGCGCATCCTTGTAAGGATAACTCTTCTAGTTTATGACAGTACTTGGACAGAGCTCTTAATAACTCATCTGTAACAAATCTGCAGGCAGAAACATGCAAGGTTCTCAGATCACGGCATCCCTCAACAAGAGCTGACAACCCCTTGTCTGTCAGCTTTCTGCAGTCTGATACATCTAATGATTGCAGAAAAGATAGACCAGATCCGATCACTGCCACTCCAGCATCTGTGATACCTGTAAAAACAGTGATAGTCCACTCCCATGATAAGCATCTTGCACAGGTCTTCTTGACTAGTAGTAAAAATGGCATGTAGGAAATGCAGTAAAGCATTCGAGGATGAAAGGACCTCCAGGCCAAAATAATTAACATAGACAACCAAGCAAACTCCCATGGACGAAAAGATCTGATTCTCCAGAATTACAGAAGGCATTCCAAGAAGCTAATTTTCAAAAGAACATATATTTAAATAAAATGACTGCAACATTCAAGAATTGATAAGGTGAACAAACATAATGGGAGCTACAATACGTAACTACAACCATAAGAACTATGGAACTCAAAAACCCCATGTTTCCCTAATATATTAGAGAAAATAGCTATACTAGAATATTAGTACTAACTCACAAACAAAAAGTAAAAGAATTAAACATGTAACTTTAGTCAACCCAGTTAGGCCAGAGTACTAGTCAAACAAAAATGAAATCCGTTACTCTGATATTAACAGGCGGAAACCAATGAAACACCGAAGACAAGTAGACAACCCTTCAGTTGCCGAAATCAACTTCGGTTCAGAAACCATGTAAGCACAGGTTCAGCAGGAAAACACTTGACTTACTGAGGAAGCATTTGGAAAAATATTCATGGCAGACAAACTGAATATGCCTAAATGACTCCGAATGACTAGTCAGAAGACATAGCTTCTACAATCACTTTGTACAAATTGAAAGTCTCTCCGAAGTTTCGCTGACAACATTTTCATGAAGTAAGTCTGAATGATTTTTTTCTCTATTTCCAGAGATTATTTGATGTTCTGGTCTTTCTTTTTTTTCCCCGTAGCAAACCTCACTTTTGGTTAAATAGGGTGAAACTGTGAAACTTCACATACATAGCACTCAAATAAAAAGAGTTGGGCAGAAGTCCAATCAAAGAACGCCTTAACCAGTGGAATTCCAAAGAAAAATATTGCTTCAAACACCAAAATAACATAAAATACAATGCAACCGTCAACCTTCACTTCATGGCAGCCAATTTTTAAGGTACTTCCTAAACTAGAGATATCCAAAACTTGCAAATCACAACATAAAGCCACTCTTAAGAGAATTAAAGCCATTAATAATGTCATCAAGTAATCCAATTCTTCTAAAAAATCTTGGAAAGTTTGGGTAACTTAGGCTACTGATTCAACTATCAATAGGAGTAAACAATTTAAATAAAATCACCAAATAATTATAAATTTATAATAATAAGACAAACTAGAAATGAATAAAACACCGCCATTACCTAGGCAAAAACAAACCCTGAAATCCTACTCCCAGGATACAATGACTCAAACAGGATGTCTTGATGTGCACTCAAACAAGGAATCTGATGGACTGGAATGAAACCCGACTGCATATTAGTTAGTCTTGTTGAATACGTAAAAAGAATTCTCATAGAATGACTCAAACAGGATGTCTTGATGTGCACTCAAACAAGGAATCTGATGGACTGGAATGAAACCCGACTGCTTATTAGTAAGTCTTGTTGAATACATAAAAAGAATTCTCATAGAATTTACTTACAATAAGAAACAAGATGGGGAGAAGAAATTTGTTGGTGAATTGAAAGCTAACACCAAGGGCATGGTACTCTTTTTATAGACAAAATCGGGCCCTTTTGAAAAGTCGTGAGACATACCATCGCGACCATTGACAGACAAATGTTGGCTAAAGAAAATAAGTGACATACACATAAAATATTGTGACCACTGATATCCAAAAATCAAGGATCTTGGACAAGCTTGTGTTTTTTGTTTACTTTTACTATTATCTAAATTTTTTATGGACACAAAAATGATAAAAAAAACTAACATTCCCCCTCATTATCGAAAATAATGACATAAGAAAAAGTCAAAATGCAAAACTCAACCCTAAATTCATCATTTTTTGGATAGTGTAATTATTAACATGTCCAATACGAGCATGCCAAGTGTTTGAAGAGACAATAAGATGGTAAATGAAAGATCACTAACTTTATTCGAATTAACTTTTGCTAAATTTAACTAAAATAAACCTTCAAATACATAACATTTTCAAACAATATATCAGATAAGAAGAAAGGTACTAACTAAAATCTTCCTAATGTCCAGCACATCATGCATCTTGTGACGAGTCAAACTCTTTCGTGAAGTAAAAAAAGATCCATTGTTCCTACTCTACTTTTACTATTATTATTATTATTTTGATAGGAAACAAACTTTCTGTAACAATGAAGAGAGTTCAAAGTAGTGGACAAGAAATCCACTCAATAACAAGAATAAATGGAGAAAATACATTGAAAAGGCTACATCACTATAGAGCTATAGGTATTCATCTAGCTACATGTTGCAATCCAATCAAGAGTTGGGGGGGAAAATGGCACTTCTTGTATTCTTTAGTAATCGATGCCCAAAGAGAAGCCAAAATTTGACTCTATCCCAAATAAACTCTACATTTCTTCTTTTTCTTCAAAAATTATATCTTTCCTTTCCAACCAAACCACCCAAAAGATTGCCATAACCACACCTTCCCATAAATGCTTTGTGCTACTTTCCAAAACACCATGATTAGTGCCAAATAGAGACGTACATCCTCTTGGAATACCCCAACTCAAATTAAACTCGGTATAAGCTCTACACCACATTTTCTAAGTCACTGGGCAACGGCGAAAGAGATGATATACACTTTCATCGCAACTTTAATACAGTATAGACCATGAGTATAAAGACAAGAAGTTGGTCTCTTCTCGTTTGCAACAAATTGTAAGCATTAAGCTTTTCATGAGCCATAGTCCAAGCATAAAAATGCACTTTAACTAAAACTTTAGCCTTCGAAATCATCTCTCGAGGTACAAAAATTGGGGACAATTGATCATCAATCAAGTATGGAAGTAGCAACTGCAAGAAAAGACATCAGAAGAATTAAGGACCCACACTCTTATCCCCCAATCCTGACATTAAGGAAACCAATTGAAATAAAGACAACCAAGAGAAAATTTTTAATTTCCAAAACTTCCCTATCATTCAAGGCCCTGAAGAAATTGAAGTTTCACCCCCTTGAGATGAAGAAACACCATACATACTAGCAATGGATGCCTATCGAGACCAAGACAACCTAATAAGGTGAGGAAAAGACAAAGTAAAGACGAAATTATGTTATGTGTTATTTCTAAACTAAGCGTAGTTTTGTACTTTGTGATTATATATAAAAGTTGGATGTAGCTGTGTAACCTAACACATTACTCTCTTTCATAATCTTCTCTATCTTCCTTTTCTTTCAAGACCTAACAATTTGATAATTTAACTTAGTATCAAAGCACTAATTCAAATTTGAAGCCTTATAGTTGTCGACTTTCGCTGAAAATTGTCTGAAATTATAACAGTAGCTTATAGTTTTTTCTGATGAGGTAATGTCAACGATTAACATGTTGCCGTCAGCAACGAACTTTATTAGAATTTTTTGAAATTCATAGGGGAGATTTAACTTGGCATTGTAAGATTTATGGTGATTTGCTAGAAAGTTTTTGAACCATCTAACTAAGTTTTCAGATTTTTGAAGTATTTTTGGGATTTTTTATTTGAAAACACAGATCTACAATATTTGTGGATTTTTGTTGTTGTTTATGCTTCGATCCATCATTGTGAGGTCCGACTAGGAGTGATTGATGATGCCCATGCTGTTTTATTGAGATTGGATGAGATTTCTAAAGTTTTTTGGCAAGAACTGACCATCAGCACATCTGTTCTTGCATTTTTTGGCCACTGCTGGGACTCCTTTGTTGCATATAGTCTAATTCTCCTAGGTGTGGTGCGAAAAATATAGACCTTGAATACCCACGATGAGTTGTTTGAATTAGATCAGATTTGAGAGGTTTTTTGGCCATTTTTCAGCCTCGGTTACTATTCTGGCTACTGTTCCAGATCCTCTAGTTCATGTGTGAGACTTTACTCTATTGGTTGGCTCCTGTTGAGGTACTGCTTCTTCTGGTTGACTACTGTTGAGGTGCTGCCACTACTAGCTCCTGTGTTGAGACCATACAGTGAGTGAAACCCTCCTGTTCTGGCCATCCCAACCTTTTTTTGGCTTCGATCTTCCTGGATGGGGTGCGAATAGGATGAGATCACTTGTGAGTTTTGTTTTTTGGCTTGGTCTCACTATTGGCATCACCATCTTCTAACAATGTCCAGTTATCTTTGTTGCATTTGGATTGATTTAAAGCATTTTATAGGCATTTTTAACTGTCGGCAGTAGCTATTTGATTTGTCCAGTGAGTTGTTTGTCTTCAATTTGGTTCTACTCTGGGTATTGTATTGGGAATATTCAGCTATTGTTTGAGTATTTTTATGGTTGTGGTTCTTTTTGGTTGTGGTTCTACTCTATGAGGTGCAACAGGAGAAATTTGTTTAACCACTGTCGAGGTCTTTTTCCGGTGTTGGCTATTTTGTTGGTTTTGTGCCTGCTGCTGTGATTGTTTGACCCTATTTTGTGGACATGTTGAAAGGGAGTGTTGCCTCTAGTAATTTTAGTCAAGATGAGATGCAAGCTCTTACGCGTTTGATGGCTCAACTTGATGTTTTCTCTACTACAGCTCCTAATCCTACCACTTCTTTCAACTTTGTTCATAGAGTTATATCTGCTAGTGTGTTTACTTCATCATCCTCATCTACTCATTGGATAATAGATTCTGGAACCACAGATCACATGACAGATTCTTCTAACATTTTTTCTTCATATTCTAGTTGTTCTAGTAAGGATAAAGTTAGGGTGTCAGATCGATCTTTATCCTCTATTTCTGGGAAAGGTTCAATTAATTATTCACCCTCTTTATCTCTCTACTCTGTTCTTTATGTTCCGAATTTCTCTACTAATTTGATTGTTTGTTAGTAGTATAATCAAATCCTTAAAATTGTTCAGTAACTTTTTTCCCTACTCATTGTATCTTCCAAGACTAGAAATCATGAAAAACAATTGACAATGGTAGAGCACATGGTGATTTGTACCACTTGGATACTGAAACTTCTTCTTAGTCTATTTGTCAAGCTCTCTATGCAAATGATGTTTCAGCTCTTCAGCTCTTATAACAGTGGCATAGAC